TGTGTGTATGGCGTTCTCGGTTGGTATTTGCACATACTCAGTGTATTCTTTCATATATGGATCATGTGTTTTCAGAAACTCGTGAATTACATGATTCATAGCATTCGGTCAGCTCCGATGCTTCATTTTTTTCCTTGCAGGTTTCTGTTAACCTTTATTTTTGGTTGTGTATTATTTTTTTTTACCAATTTTGATTAATATTTTTTAGATTTATCCTTTTTCTTATTTAACCCAAGGCATTCTGTTTTGTGTTTGGCTTTCTCTTCTGAAGTGTGTTTTCTTTTATATCAAGTTCATGAATTTTACTACTTTTCAAAACATTTCTAATTCTAATTTTCCTTTCGTGTCCTGTTTATTTTTCTTAAACATGTTTAACTCTGAAAGAAGTTATAATGTCTTTCAGCATATTGTTCTGCTCCTTATTCTTCATGATTTTTATTGTTGTTTTTGGGCAAGGTCTCACAATGTAGCCCAGTTTTACCTTGAACTTGTGGCAGTCCTCCTATCTCAGCCTCTTGAGTGCCGGAATTATAGGCATGAGCTACCATGCCTGACTTTTGAATGATATTATGTAATTGTTCATTCATTTTTTTGTGTGAATGTTTTTGCTTACATGTATGTATATGCACTACATACCCCAGAGGTCAGACGAGGACATCAGATCCCCTGGAATTGGAGTTACCGATAGCGTGGGCGCTGGGACCGAACCTGGATCTTTTCACAAGAGCAGCAAGTGCTAGTTGCCACTGAGCCTTGCTAAGCCTCTATCTATACAGACCGCATATGGGAATCTTTCCTGTGGATGGCCTGCATTTACCCATCATCAAAGAATGGGAAGTGTTGCTTCTCTTCTAATGCTGGCTGCCATCTATTCCTACAAATACTTCTTGGTTACTTTGGATTTTTTTCCTATTCCATAGGATCATCAGATGTAGCTCTATTGCTATCTTTTTTTATTATTATTTTACAGTTTCTAATGCCAAGAAAATCTCAATTTTCCTGGTTTGCCCTTAACTTGTTTAGTCCAAGGTTTGTAGGATGGCTTCCTACATATTGTTACTGTTGTCCATGTTTTTCTGCTCACTGTCTAATTGTTCTGTCTCTTTGCTATGTTAGCTTTCAAAGAAATTGAAAAACCATATTGCTATTGCTTCTGTCTTCTTCTGAAAAGTTTTGGCAATTCAATGATACTTTATAAATTAGCAAATGAAATTCTGTTTGCATTAAAGTGGAAATTAGAAGGAAATATGGTAGGTATTCAAGGCAAATGAGAAAGTCAAAAGAACAAAGAATGCCAACCCCATTGCTTAAGTAAATATTTTCCCCCTTCAGTTGGATAAGAGTCGGCAGAGATGGAGGAGTTTGTCCTGATGAAGCAGCAGCTTCAAGAAAAGGAGGAACTCATTAGCACTTTGCGGACTCAGCTCAGCTAGACACAGGTAGAGCAAGCTGCACAGGTAGGATGATGGTGCTTCCATTAGGATAAAACCCACGGGGTCCAGAATGGTGCAGGTGGCAAGTCAATCCCAGCAGTCACTTGAAAAGCTTGGTGGATGAAAGTATGGTAGCTCGGATATTAAAGCCAAGCTAGGAAGGTGTGGTGAAAGAAGCTAGAAGTATGGCAAGTGGTTCAGATCTTAGTAGGAAACACCAGAACCCCTCAAAAAATGCCATTTATGTTGGTGAACTTGCCATAGCTTTATGATGACTGTCTTTATTCCTTAGGTCCAAATACTCCATTTTAATAGCACACAGAGATTCTCAGGAACAGGCTCATGGCTGAACTCAAAAGAAACGGATAGTTAAACAAAAGAATTTAAATTATTAGCTCCATTCTTTTCTGATTAAAATCTTGTTAGGAAGATATATCTTTTTTTATGAGAAAGTAATTTTATTAAATTATAAAAGTTTCCATTTCCGCCCCTCCTCCCAACACCCTCCCACTCCCCCCACTCCCTCTCCTCCTCCCTCTCCATCCCTAAGAGCAGTCAGGGTTTCCTGCCCTGTGGGAAGTTCAAGTTCCTCCCAGGAAGATATATCTTAAACTTAAAGTTACTTAATGAACATAGACTAAAGAAGTGGAGAGGGTATGAGGCTCCTTGCTAATGACTCTAGTATGCAGCATTCTTCTTCATGGTCATTCTGAAGCCAGAGCCAGCCTGTTTGCGCCGGCACCCTCAACTCTGTTTTTCTCAGTTTCCCATAGTTATCCTTCGAGGATGCTTTTTTTAATCCAGACCTCACAGTCACTTCCCAAGTCCTGCCCTCCCCTGCTGCGCTCCGCACATCCTCCATGTATTCCTTGGCTTCTTATTGGTGTCCTGTCTTTCATTGCACATCAGTTTTTGTCTTGTCCACTTTCCCTTTCTCCTTATCTCATCAGGTTGGAACTTCTTGGGGACTTGTGTGGGAGTCAGCAATGGGCTGGTTTCTTTTTCATTTGAGGATTTACTGTGACCATTCATGTTCTACCCCTGATCCAAAACTTCAAATAGATGAAGTCAGTTTTGTATTTAAAAGAAAAAAGAGGTAAGAAGTGATGTGGAAGACACATTCTTTTATTAAATCAGTATTTTTCAAAGTGCATTGAAAATTGACTTCATTCTATTTGAACTTACCTTGTACTAACTCACATTGTGTGTACTTAGGATATAGAACCCTGTAAGGAAAGGCACTTTCGTGACACTTTGTTTGATCTGTGTTTGTACATGTGTGTTCATGTATGTGCAAGTGCATGTTTATGCACACAGGTATGCATGCGCACATGTACATGTGTGTGGTGGCCAGAGGACAACTTTGGATGTCATTCCTTCCTCTGGAGCCATTCATCTTGATACTTTTGCCCTCGGAGGTGGGGTCTCTCATTGGCCTAGGTCACCACTTAGGCTAGGCTAGCTGGCTGGCCAAGAAGCCTCTGGAATCCTGTTTCTACCACCTCAGTCTGGGATTCACCTGGCCTGACTTTTTTTTATGTGGATTCTGGAGATTGAACACAAGTCCTCATGAGGAGTTTGCCAATTGTGCCAATCTTTCCAGCCGCTTATTTCTTTGTTCTTGAGTGCAAACCTGTTCCAAGTTCTAAGCGGTCTTTCAGAATGTACAACTAAGTGGAATTTCAGAGTGTTCTACTTTGAAACCTACACTATGAATTGTATATATTGATTGATTTATTCAATAGGTATTTTTCAAGTGCCTGCCCTGTGATTGAAACCAGAAGAGAAATTGTTTTGCCTATAAAGATTGCTCTCTTTTGTAGGTAAGATATGCATGGTACCTCTGCTACTTAGGGAAAGGACAGGAACTATGTGATTTTGAACGTGAGTGTGTGTCATTTTATCTTAAGCATACTAGGCTCTGTGATTCAAGGCCTTGCTTGCATTTGGGTTTGGCTGTTGTCACGCTCTGGAGAAGGCATTTTGGATATTCTCTTCCTGCTGGATGGGTCATGGCACGCGGTGTCCTACTTAGCCCTTTTCCTTCACACTCGAAAGCGTAGCCTTGCAGGTGTACATGGCACTTTGGAAGGAAGGCAAATAATTGTAGTCATTTATCTGTAATTATGTCTAAATGTTTCTTTCCAGAAATTGAGGGTGATACAAAAGAAACCTGAGGATCATGAAGAAGCCTTGTTGGGCCGTGCTCAGGCTGTAGACTTGCAGCAGCAGGAGCTGACTTTGGCCAAACAGAGAAACCAGGCACTGTCTGCGGTCCCACTCCCTGCCAGGGAGGGCTGGTTTCTACTTTAGGTTGTTGGGCAGCAGGCATAAAAACCTTGGAGTGGTCAGAGGATTGGTGTCATCTGTTCATTCACAGCGGTAAAGCAGGTGTGGTCCCTCCCCTGGGCTTTCATTTTCTGTTTTTAGCGCACTTTTCCTTCATGGCTGTAGGCTACAGTCTTTCTGCAGTTTCCTCTTTGCCTCTGGCGAATTTCTTTCTCGTCCCTCCCTCCCCCCTCTTTGTCTTGAGTGATTCTTGTGCTTCGTGCGTGGTCTCGGCTTGGTTTTCCTTGGTCAGCTTTCTTCTGGGTTGAAGTAACCGGATAAGGCCATAATTCTTCCTTTGTCTTGCTGTACTGGATGGACTCACGCTGCCGATCTGGGCTACTCTTACCTGCCTTTGGCCTCTCTGTGCTCTTGTCCTCTGGTCATATCCAGTCTACTTGACTGGAATCCCGAAAGGCATGAAATCTGCTTCCCCAAAAGGAGTAGCGAGGGAGTGATGCTAACACACACATCTGAGGAGCCTTCCGACTCCAGCGCCTTGGATCTGTATCTTGGGTGAACCATTGCTCCTGTTTCACATTCGTCTTTCCAGTGTGGGATCAGCTTTGTTTTTTCCGAAGATTTGTTCAGGTTTAGGGTACACAAGTCAGTCTAAACAAACTTACAAGTCTATTAGAGAAACCATAATACTTCCAGTAAATACATTAACAGTAAACAAGTTTGTTTGCCAAATGGCTGGATAGCCGGTATATTCCTTTCTCCTTCTCCATCTGTCTCTGTGGAAAACTAGATTATAAACAACCCAAGGCTCTTAGTGAGTATTAGTGTCAGAACAAAGGGAGTCTGGATCTTAATGGACCAGGCTGGTACACAACTGCAGTGAGTGTGTTCACCCACCTCTGTTGTGAGATGATGCGCTCCTACACTGACAGAGCTGTTAAGACAAGGTCCCTGGACACTACTGTGAGCCATGAGAAAGTGTTTACTGAGACCTTTCCCAGCTGGTCGCATAGGCAGGAGCTGTGCTATACTCTAGATTGTATCGTAACACTGTATTGTATGTATTTGCTTCAGTAACTACCCTTCAGTCTGCCTCTGTCCACCAGATCATCTTAATGTTTTATGTATTCCCAAATAGTTCAGAATGTATATTATTGACCAGATTTGTTAGTAGTTGAGGTACACTAGTTGAACAATCCTTTTTCTCTTGAGATAAAATTTATAAAGCATTAAATGTATAAATCACAAGTATAACGTGAGAATGTTATACCATTTCTGTTGCCCAGATTAAGGCCCAGCTGAAAGAAATGGAGGTTGAGAAAGAAGAGCTGGAAATGAAAATTAGTTCCATAACAAGTCACCTGACCCAAAAATCAAAGAAGTCTTTCTTTTACAAGAGCAGATATGTAAACAGGGTTTAGAAAACCAGCAGTTGAGGGCAGCCTCCCATGAAGCCGAGGCCCACGTGGAAAGCCTGCAGCAGGAATTGGAAAGCAGCCAACTCAAACTTGCTGGCCTGGAACATCTGCAAGCATTGCAGCCTGAACTAGGTAAACTGCAAAAGCACCTGCAACAGAAGGAAGAAGAGGTCAGCTACCTGTCTGGACAGCTGAGTGAGAGAGAACAGACCCTCACCAAAGCCCAGGCAGAGATGATGGAACAGGAGCATTCGATCAGGGCCCTGCACATACAGCTGGAGATGCAGGCTAAGGAGCATGAGGAGAGGCTGAAGCAGGTACAGGTGGAACTTCGTGAGCTGAAGCAGAGGTCAGAAGAGGGCGAGGAAGAAGCTAAGGCAAAGCAGCAGATGAAGAGGACACTGCAGGCGGCTCTCATCTCCCGAAAGAATCTGCAAGGGGAATTGTCTTCAGCTAGAGATGCCGTGGCACACCTAACCAAGTCTCTCGCAGATGTGGAAACCCAGGTTTCTGTCCAAAACGAAGAGAAAGACGCAGTCCTGGGAAAGTTAGCCCTTCTTCAGAAAGAAAGAGACAACCTCATTGCCGACATGGACAAATCTTTACTAGAAAACCAGAGCAGTACATTATGGCCATTGCAGACAAAGTTCAGCAGCTCGGGCATCTGCAGAGTCTCCTGAGGTCTTTCTCCCAAACCCAGAGTCTCTCCGCACAGTACCAGAGACAGGTGAGGAGATCCATGTAGTTTGCTCAGGGGGCCATGACCCAAAACAGCATCCTCCTCCTATAACTACCTGCCCATCTGCATCCTCCTCCTATAACTAATTGCCCGTCTACAACCATAAGGCAAGCCTCTTCTGACTTCTTCTACAGTGGGCATGATTTCTTCTAGGGGGAGGAGTTGAGTATGAACAGTCTTAGCAGACAATGCACGGATGTTTGTTTCCTGGCAGGCATCCCCAGAAACATCAGTCTGCATCGATGGGTCACAAAATCTTGTTTATGAGACAGAACTTCTCAGGGCTCAGCTTAATAACAGCTTAAAGGGGGGGCTGGAGAGATGGCATGGGGGCTGGAGAGATGGCATGGGGGCTGGAGAGATGGCTCAGAGGTTAAGAGCATTGCCTGCTCTTCCAAAGGTTCAATTCCCAACAACCACATGGTGGCTCACAACCATCTGTAATGAGGTCTGGTGCCCTCTTCTGGCCTGCAGGCATACACGCAGACAGAATATTGTAAACATAATAAATAAATAAATATTTTTTAAAAAAAGAAAAAAATAACAGCTTAAAGGAAATTCACCAGAAGGAATTAAGAATTGAGCAGTTGAACAGCAAGGTACGTGTTTTGTGCTAGACTGAAATTCAGTTTCTTATTGGCTCCTCCTGGAGGTAAGATTCAGCACAGGCACCAGCTCCAACAGAACTTAGGAACAGAAGTTATAAGAACGAGTGTTTGTTCCAGAGCTGAGGACACGGGCCACGTTCCCCTTGCCCTTGGCCGGTCTTTCAGAATGACTTGGGGAAACCCATGCAGAACTTCACCCCATCTTATCACATGTTGTAATGTGTCAGCATCGCCTCATGCATCTCCACAATTCACTGTCTTCCTGCTGCTCTGACTGGTCCAAGTGTTCTCAATGGCTCCTCCCAGTCCTGCCCTCTTCAGAGAAACCTAGATAGGTAGTGTCTGCCAAACTTAGACGTCATTCATGAGGTCAGTGGTTAGTGAGTCCAGGGGTCTGTGAGAAGAGTTGTGAATGCCTGCAAATGTCTACACAGTGTGGGGTCGGTGCCTGCGTCTTCTTACGGTAAGTCACAGTGCCTGCGTCTTCTCACAGGAAGTCATGGAACACGGGCATTGAGGCTGCTGGAGGCTGGGGGGTTTTTGACCTCTGGATCCCACAGTGGAAATATAGAATCAGCTCCTGATCGCTCTTCTCTGTTCTCTACATGTGAGCTGTAGAATGAACATGCCTACAATCATGCATGTGTACTACACACACGCGCACACACACACACAAATACTAATGACATTGTGATTCAAAATCATAAAAATCAGGAGATGGTTTTCCCAGCTGAGGAGAAAAGCCCACTTGCTCAAGATTGCAGTCATTCTAAAGTCAGTGGTCATGTGTGTGACTAGTGTGTTTACCACACATAGAAGGTACTCATTAGATGATAAATTCAACCATCACTAGAATGTCAGAGACTCCATTGACTTTGGATCCAAATGAACTGATGAACTAAATGGCTTAGTTTTGTTTGGTGGGGAGGGGTCTCCTCTCACCTACCTATTACACAAGTTCTGACCTTTGTAGCTCTGTGGCAGTGAAGACCCAGTGACTCCTTCAGGTCACACCTCAGCTCTTGTTCCTCTCTAAATGCTGGTCCGTGGCTCTGCCGAGGCTTCTCCTCCTATGACAGCATTTTAAACAGAAACAGCTGTTTATAGATGATGAAGTAAATTATTTTGGTAGATGATAACAGCTGAAAATTTTAAATGTTTTATCAAAGTAAACTGTAATTGGTTATCTTTTACTCTTTTTATGCTTAGCTCTTTTGGGGGCCCACCATCCAGCTCACAAATAAATACACACATGGAGGCTTATTATTACTAATAAAAGCCCAACCTTATCTTGACTTGTTTCTATCCAGCTTTTCTTTAACTGAAATTATTCTGACTACCTTTGCCTCTGGGCTTCTTCCTTGTCTTCTGTCTACCTTACTTTCACTCTTACTCCGTGTCTTGCTGTGTAGCTGGGGACTGGCCTCTGTCATCCTCCTCTCCTTATTCTCTCTTGCTCCTCCCTCCAGATTTCTCCTTCTATGCATTCTCTCGCCTGCCAGCCCCGCCTGTCTTTTCTTCTGCCTTGTGACTGGCCATTCATCTCTTTATTAGACCATCAAGTGTTTTAGACAGGCCAGGAATCACAGCTTCACGGAGTTAAACAAATGCAACATAAACAAAAGTCACACACCTTAAAGTAATATTCTACAACAGTTAACACATAAAGGTAACAGATCATTGGCATAGCAGGCTACATGTTCACAAAAAGATGTGTAACAAGTAGTCAAGATAGAGAACCAGGATGTCCCACACTCCCACAAGTCCACCATTCCTCTTCCAATCGCAGGCACCTACCTTAGAACTAAGTGGAGCCGTTTGCAGTATGAACATCTTGCTGTAGGCCGTTGCCACTCTAGATAAGAAATAGTTCTCTTTAGAATCTGGCTGTGAGGAAGGCACCTCCCTAGCCTTGCTCATCCACTAGTTAACAAGTAACTGTCATTTGCCTGCTGAGAGTCTGGCCATATGGTAGGCACCGAGGACACACATAAAACCTTAAGTCACGTGAGCTTAGTCTCACTCCCCATAGGTCCCAGCTTCTCACTTGAGTGAGATGAAGTTCAGGGGCCGTCACACATGTTTCTCTCTAACCCTGTCTGCCCTTGTTCCTTTGCTGAATGCTAAGGTGTTCTACATAGTTCTGCTGGCTTATCTAAATGTCTCTGTGCAGTGTAGGTGTGTTAGAAACCTTAAATGTGACTAATGGTAGAGTGTTAGTCTAGCCTTAGAGGACTGAGTTCAGTTAGCCTGTGAGTAGAGGGAGAACCTGAGGAGCCTAAGTAGTCTGTGCGCTGCACCCTCTGTAGTGGCAGCTCCACAGCAGCGGCTCCCGTGAGCAGTGGGTGCTCCAGTGAGACTCTGTGGACACTGGGAGGGCCGTGTCCCTGGGTCCAATGCCTGCTCCTAACCCCAGAAACCTAGACAGAATGCAGACACCCAAGACGGGTTACAAGTGGATGATGAGTGATCGAACTTTGTCTTTGTAGTTCATAAGCCTTCGCTTCCAACAAGTTCATGGGTCTGAACTATGTTTCTAGATTTACTAGAGACAAAATGAGAAGACAGTTTTAAATACTGGGGAGATTTATTTGCTTGTGTTTACTTGTGTTTGGTGTGCCCTGGGCTGTTCATTCCAGCTAGGAATGCTTTTCCTGTGGTGGGAGAGCATGGTGTTAGTCCTCACCCTGGAGTTCCTATTGTACTCGGCCCGCCACCCTCAAATAAGTTTAGCACACCCTTTTCTCCCTATAGCAGCCTTTCTCCCCACACCCATGCCTTCTCAGTGGCCCTTACTGTAATTTAGATTGGGCCGCATCATAAAGCAGGTGGGACTCAAGACTGGAGACCCACAGCTGTGAGCAGCTGGGATCTGCTGCTGCCATGGCCTTGAGTAGTGTAAACTTACATCTTTTTTCCATCTGTAAAAAAGGAGGGAGGTCCTTTCTCTGCTTCTTTCAATGAAGATGGAATTTGTCCAAATGTTTTGTAAACTGAAACTTGATCTTCAGAGTGACAACCACACAGAGAGTCATCTGGAGCCGTGTTCAGTTACAGAGCACATTGTGATCCTGTGTGCTGTGTGCATCCAATGCGGTTTCCCAGATGTCTCTAGAAAACTGTTTTCTCTGAAGCATTGATAAACTTCCTACACAAACACTTAGAGAAGAATCCTCAAGAGAACACAAGACTCCCAGCCAGATCCATCCATTTCCTTCCCGTGGCTTTGTGGCGGGTACTCAGGAGGTCGTCTCCATGGCTACCAGTGTATCTGGGTGTTAATCATGACTGAAGTTTAAAATGACAGTGCACAAGTGAGGAATCCCAATTCTGGTTGCAGAGGAGTCCAATCCCAGTCAGCTGGTAGAAGTTACAGCAGCTAAATGTTTTCACTCATCGTAAACAGGTTTTCTGGTTTAGAAACCAGCGGGTAGATTGCCTTGCCAGGTAGTGGGCACCTGACACTGAACTTGTGCAGGGACAGATCTGACCGTGGTCTATCCCTCGGGACCTAGAGGAAAGGTTGGCGTTGGGACTGTACTGTTTCCACTTGGTGAGCATCTGGGCTCCCACTTCTGCTCCTCAAGCACACATAGACACGTATGACTTCTGTCTGCTCTCTTGGAAACACGTCCACCCAGTAACACCATCACACACATTTTTAAGTATGAGCTTGCTCCCTGTCTGTGCTGAGTTCTAGGGCTTGTTATTCATTAGTAATTTAAGCATGGACCCAACCTTCTGTCCTCTGCTTACATTCCTGGAATAGCCTGTTCTATTGGAATTATTGTTAGGGGGTTCTGTTTAATCGTTGTTCAGTTCATAGACCTTGGAACCAGTAAAAATAAACCAGTTTCCTGCTATTCTTCCAGAATTCGTTTCCTATTGTGGCTGAAACACTTAGGGATTTTTCCCTTTGAAGAAGCAGACCCCGGTAGGACTCTAAGGTAGGTTCTGTGCTGCAAACCAGGTAGGTCCTGCAAGTTCAGGCCAGGTGCCTAAGCACCGCCTCCTGTGATGTGGTCCTGGGGTGGCACTTGTCCTCTCCCCTGATGCAGCTCTCTCAGCTGCTGGAGGAGAAGACGACCCTGTCCATCCAGCTCAGCGACACCAGCCAGAGTCTCCACGAGAGCCAGCAAGACTCCAGCGACCTCTTCAAGCACTGTGCTGTGCTGGAGAAGCAGGTGCAGGAGCTGCGGGCAGTAAGGCAGCGGCGGGAGGTGCTCGGAGTGATAGCTAGGGGCTGTCGCTTCCCTACACAGTGGAAGGCTCTCAGTTTGCACGCACACGGTGTCTGAAGAGCTTCCATCACAACTGCTCCACTGTTGTTTTTTCTAGGGGCCACCAAATGTAGCTATTCCAGGAGCGCCCCAGGAAATGAATCCAAAGAAAGAGAGGAATCCGGAGACCACAGGGGAGCCACAGCCAAGGTACAGGAGCAGGATTCACCCTCCATCATACACTGTGTGCAAAGAAATTGTAAAGAGAGGGTGATGCTTAAATACGATAAAATATATTATCTACGTATATGAAAACATCGTAATGAAACCTATTGTCGTGTATGGACAGTGTATGATATTTTAAGGAAATGGGGTTGTAATCTTGGTGAAGCAGAGTTCACCAAATGCTCTAAGCATGTCCTAGTATCTGACTAGTGTCACAGAGCCATGTAAAGATTGAATGCAACAGCTCCTAACAGATGTTGTGCAAGAAGTGCACAGTGCTTGTCACACAAGTGCACACATGCAGCCCTACAGATGCTGGAATTGCAGCTGCACTGATGGGCTCGCATCTCCCCATGGGTATTTTCTGCTTTAATTGCTCTGCAGCTGTACTTCTATGTTGGTTTAGTTGTCCCGTTTGGGGAAATGCCTCCAGCCTTGTGACGATGTATTCGAGATTGTGTCCTACACCCAGTGATGCCCTTTCCCTGCCTTTTCCCCTCCAGATTGTCTGAAGCCCAGCAGCAGCTCGGCACCACTGACCAAGAAATGAGTGCGTTAAGGAATCTGCTGAAAGAAGAGCAAGAGCAAAGACTGGCCATTGAGAACGCACTCTCCTTGGCCGAGGAGCAGATCAGACGGTAAGGAGTGGGAGGCACTTTTTGCTCACTTCTTACCTTCCCTGACCTGGCTCCTGCACGTGTGTGACCAGGCTCAGGTTGAACAAGATCTTCATCTCCCCTTGACTTGACGGACGTGGTCCGAGAGCAACTTGAGAGTCATCCCCAAGAAGCAGGGTACCTGTGGGGTTTCGGAAACCTGTGCTTTCCAGGGCAGGAGCTTGTAGGGGTTAGAAATATGTTTCCCATCCGTATTACACAGGAAGCTTATATACAGTGTCTTACTTCATACCAGCAGTAACTATGTGAGGTACATGTCGGGTTTTTGTGTGTGTGCATGTTGGGGGCAGGGGAGAAAGGTCAGAGGACAATGTTAGGTGTCTTGTTGTCTCCCTTTCTAACACTGTCCCCTGAGACAGAGTCTCTCTGCCAGTGACCAGTGGGTCGTTAGCCATTCTCGTGCCTCTGTCTTCCCCTAGCCCTGGGGATCGCAGGTGCACACAATCAGGCCAGCTCACACGTGGCTGCCGGGGGTGGGAATGCAGATCCTCATGCTTGCAAAGCAAGCGCTCTTCCCCACTGAGCCATCTCCAGGACCCAGTGTCAGAGTCTTTAGAGGGCCAGATAAATGCATTCTCATCACCTGTCTGATTCCCAGAGTTTGTTTGTTTGTTTGTTTTTGCGACAAGGTCTTTCTGAGTAGCTCTGGCTGGCCTGAAACTTGATTAGTAGACCAGGCTGGCCTTGAAGTCACAGAAATCCACCTGCCTCTGCCTCCCAAGTGCTGTGATTAAAAGTGTATGCCACTGTACCTAGCTAACCAATTGAAATTTTAAAGATTGCAACCCAAGGGAAAATAGAAGACCACTTAAGGATTGTGGCTTGATTTATTGGCAAATGCACTACCTAACCCTGAACTTCCCTTTGCCAGTCACCGGCTTTTGCCCAGCTAGGAGGGCATGAATGTGTGTGATACTGTGGGCACTCTACCCCAAGTGTGATTGGAAGGACACAGCTGTGTCCTGCTCATTACTTATTCCACATCAAGGAAACCCAAAATCACTGTGTGTGAGAAGGTAGTGTGGCTGCAAGCATTCTGTTGTTGGGATCCCCTTTACGTGGAAAGAGACACAGCAGGCACCTCCATTATGTGTGTAAGGGCAAGTCACTATGTCTGCCGTCTCTTCCCTCAGAATAAATGGCACTGGGGGTGTTTCTGCCTTCTTGCAGTGCCTTCCCCAGGGAGCAGGTTGTAGCTGAGATTACCTTCTTTCCCACTCAGCATATATATAGCTTTTTTTCCTCAACACCGTCTAGGTAGCCTTGAGGGTAGGCTCTATGGGAACACAGTGCAGCATGTGTAGTGGCCTTGCAGAGACTTTCAGACCTATTTGTTCATGATTTCTCTGCCACTTATGAGAAACCTGGTCCACGGGGAGGCTTGGGACCACTTGAGACAGCTTAGTCAGGATGACTCTGGAGCCTGTGTCTGGACCACAGTAACCTAAGGTTAGCCCCTCCCCACTTTCCTTCTGACTGAGAGCAGAATGGAGGCCGGGTGTTGGTGATGCACACCTTTAATCCCAGCACTTGGGAGGCAGAGGCAGGTGGATCTCTGTGAGTTCGAGGCCAGCCCAGTCTACTGAGCAAGTTCTAGGACAGACTCCCTAGGTACATAGAGAAACCCTGTCTCAAAAAACAAAACAACAACAAAAATACGGCCCACCTCAACCAGGTTCAGGTTAAGGTATTTCCTCTCTGCTGAAGAAGAGAGCTGCCCACAGAGAAGTGTTCACTTGATGGAGATTCCCTGTGTGGGGGAAGAAACATGAAGAGGAAAGGGGCTTCACATGCTCCCCACTCCAGTTAAAACGTCTGCCCTGTAGGCAAATGTGTGAAGAGACACGCTTTGCCCTGTTGTACGCAGAGGTCACCGAGTCATGGTAGCTTCTCCTTAAGTGGAGAATTTCCATAATTAAGTAACGAGCACATCAGCAGAAATCAGAGCAGAAAGCTGCAGTGGCTGCAGTGGCTGCAGTGGCTGCAGAGGCTGCAGTGGCTGCAGCTCAGCCTCATGCTAAGAGCCCAACAGAATTTCTTGAGTTCTTTACATATTATAAAAAAAAATTGAAAAGAAAATGTCGAGTGTGAGGGCGCACACCTGTAATCCCAGCCCTGAAAAGTAGAGCCAGGAGAATAGTAAGTTCAAATCCAATCTGGGCTACATAGTAAGCCCCGTTCTCAAAAACAAACAAAAAGCCAGGGTTGGGTGGGGAAGGAAGGGGAGAGAGAAATGAGTGAGTTTCTGAATGAAATGTGGTATAGAGGGGGGAAGGACATGAGGCATAAAAACAAACGGGCACTGGGTTCTAGTTCTGTTGACTGTTAGTCGTGCTTCCATGGGTGAGACACGAACCAGCTGCCCAGCCGAAGCACCTAAGCCAGCATCCTAAATAAGCAGTTCCTTTACTACTGTGTGGGCCTGGCCTATGGGAGAAATCTTTGCTGCCCGTCCCCTAGGCCACCTTCCCAGGATGGCTGGGAAGATTCTCATGCAGGGGACATGTGTTGTTATCTTTCTCTCAACACAGGCTGGGGCAGAGTCAACGGGTTCTGGCCCGGACTCCTACCACTGGTGCCTGTGGCTCTCAGGAGACATCAGTGCGGATAGACATCCCGGCCAGCAGCTGCCCAAGGGTAAGAGGAAAGGACGCAGGGAGAGCTTTGCTGTGGGAATGGGCTGAGGTACAAAGATGGGCAGTGTTATTGGTGTTCAGTCACTGAGGAAACTTTCTCCCGAGCTGCCCCTCTGCTGTGAGGATGGGATCAGTTGACTGAGATGCAGAATTACTGGTGAAGAGAAAGCCTTCACATGGAGCTGACTTCCTCGTTTTATTGCTGTTGTTGTTGTTGTTGTTGTTTTGTTTGTTTCAGACCCGGAGTGGCGCTGGAGGGAAGCGGGTTCTGCGTTCACTCTGCCGTTCCCGGTCCAGAGTGCCACTACTGGCAACCATATACTTCCTGACAATTCATGTCCTCCTCATCCTGTGTTTCACAGGTCATCTATAAAGTTCTCCTTCTACCACAGCTCTCAGAACTTGTCATTCCTTCATCTCTAATGTCAGAATTGTAGTTTTTAGAACAGCCTTCCCACCTCCAACCCTTCCATTTCTCCTCGGAAAGTTCCCATAACAACAGAGGTGGCTGTGAGGACAGGTTAGAAGGCAAGGCCTGGTGTATCCTGTTTTCTGGATGTTCCTCCACTGGAGCAGGGGAGGGGGTCCCCTGAAGTCACTCGGGAGCTGGAGCATCACAACTTCTAGCCTCAAGAACCTCTGAGCTACTGGTTGTAAGTTATTCTGTCTTCAATGCCATTGTCACCCGGCTCTGCGAACAGGGCTGAGGCAATGGGAAGAGAAGACAAAGCACCTGATCCAGACCTGAGTGCAGTGGTCACGAGTGACACCACTGTGCCTGTGTCCCACTTGCTAGCCGCCGGCTTTCTCATTGCCGACATCATGTCTTCCCTTCTGTGCTCATCCCCTGAAGAGAGAGGACTGAGGGCTCACCGATCAGCTCTATGTTCTATGGTGATTCCATTTTAGTCACAACCTCCCAAGGACTTTCCTGAACTATTGTAAAATAATGTGTCATTTTCAGAATGAAGATTTGTGTGAGACTGTCTGTCGGCACAGTTGTTACGTCCCTGTGTCTGCACTCTGGAGAGTGGAGGAGGGATAGTTCCCGGAATAATAAAGTCCTGAAAATCCTCCCTTCTCACTGACCAGCCTCAGAGGGCTGTGAGCATCCTTCTAGCCTCAGCTGCTGGAGCCAAAGGAGACGAGGTGGGAGGAAGAAATCCATCCCGAGATTGAGTTAAAGGAGCAGAGTTGCCGGGGTGAAGTCCCTGAAGCCTTGTGTATTGTTCTGAGAGAGTACTGGGAAATGTTAGGCACTTGCCTGTAACTCCAGCACTCAGAAGGCTGAGACAGGAGATTATAAGTCCGGGGTCAGTCTTGTCTGTATAGTAAGGTAAAGACAGCCTGTGCTACATAGCGAGACTCTGTCTCGGGAGAAAACAGCACAACAGCAAAGTCCGTTCCCTAGGACACGCAGTGCAGGAGTTTCGTAGCTCATACAGGTCAGGTGGGTATAATTACGTTTTTGTATGAAGTTGCTGCTTGGGAAAAGCTGACCGGCTATCTCATTGTACAAGTGGATTTCAAATCCAATCCCTTTTGTTTCAAAGCTATTCCTGCATGTTACACGCCACTCAAGGGACGAACGTGGGATATCTGTAAAGGGGAAATGAGTTTTCTCGGTCTCATCTCTCAAGTCCTATGGTTTCTCCAGAGAACTGCATTGCCATATGATGTGTTTGCTCTGATACTTCTAATTCTGACATTGGATTAGAATTCCAGGTTAGCTAGAAGATTTCCCCTGTCTACATTGTCTCTACTTTAAAACAACTTTAACAGAACAAATAAAATGTCCCAAGTCTAGTGTCCATTTGGAAGTGACCTTAGAAGCTTTCTGTTCTCCTGAAGAAACGCTCTGTTCTCCTGCAGAAACTCTCTGTTCTTCTGTTGAAATGCTCTCTTCAGTCCAAGACTGGAGAAAACAGTCTGGGACCCTTTCTGGATTCATTATCTCTAGGGCAATCAGGTCACAATTCCACAACCCATCAAGGTCATAAGAACCTGGGTCAGATTCAATAACAAACTCTTAGGATGATTTTGGGACTTCTTTGCAACCTCTTTGTCACTGAGGGCCCCAGGCTGCCAGAGGAGTCCCCCTGGGGGATTCTTTGTAAAGCAGCCACGGTAAAGGCCTCCAAACTCTCAGTGGCCTTCCCCTCAGAAAGGGTCTATTTTATTGGCCCAAACAAGTCACCTGAGCATGTCTGACTTGAGGATAGAAGGGAAGGGCCACAGATCTTTTTTCTTCCTTTCAAATAAAATTTATATATTAAGACATTGCTGCTAACTTTAAGCATGGATCCCACAAGTCATTATCCATATATCATCACACACTGGGAAATTTCTGGGAAGATGGACTGAGGTGGGTTCAACTGGATTTCTGAAAAACATCTTTAGACATCTGAGTCATGGTGCAACCTATACAACAGGGCCTTGCCTCGCTCATTCCCCAAGGCAAAGTATCCACCCCTGGGAGAAAAATCCAGGGTTTGAACACGAGAAATAGCACTCCTTTGAAAAACCGGAAAGTTAGAAAATGCTGCACAGGAAGGAAGATGAACCAATCTGACAGCTTCTTTCATTTTCCTTGAAGATTTCTGCGATTGAAGGTCAAGGAAGTGACTCCCGTGACCAGGTTCACTATGGCCTTTATTGGCTTTGGGTTGGTTTGTTGGTGGCAAGACTCTTGACTGTCTGTGTTTTCCACTCCACTCTCAGAGCCACAAGCCACATACAGCCCACTCTGATGCAGCAATGATAATCCATACAAACTGCCTTCGTCAAGGACTCTGTTAAGGCGCGTCCTCGAATTCACATCCCACACATAAACTCTCCATTCCCAGGAGTACATACCCTCTTACTATCAGAAGAGAATGTGGATGCTGCCATTCTCCCATTGATCTTCATGCTACCGATTAATTCTTTAGTCTTCATTGACAGCAAATGGGAAAACCCAGCAGTGCTGCTTCTGAGCAGGAATTGGAGAGACTTCAGATCGCTTCACTAGTCTCTCTTTCAAACCTCTCACTTGATGGACAGGAACTAACTTTCCAGCTAGCATATCATCGACATAAAGAACCTTGCTGTGCACACTTGTGGCTAAAAGCTCCTCTCCATTAGCACTGAAACAAGCCTTAAAGATTGGAAACTTTCCCAAATAGATGCCCTGGATTTTCGGGTTTGTTTTGCCATCTCCCTGACAGTAAGATAGCATTGTCTACCCCAGAGAGCATCACCACCTGTGCGCCAGGATGGAGCCTCACTGATGAGATCTGAGGTGGTAGTCCGTTCAGCACTGGCAGGACGGCAATTCTTCATCTTCAGAAGTCCTCCTGGAAGAGAAGTGGATGCGGATATGAAATTCCCAGCCCTTTGCAACAAACCATCTTCATCCTCTTCACTTTCCTCATCTGTAGATTCTCTCCGCTTGTGCCCAATCAGGTACTCCTCCTGTAGCATGCTTTAAGTCTCTTTTGAAGCTTATCTTTTGAGAGTTTACTTTTACTGGCATTTTTCATTATATTTTCCGAAACCGATTGTTCATCATGACACTATTTCTTCATCTTTATCACCTTCATTCACCCAAACTGGCTTCTTCTGAGGAAGATTATCTTTTGCTTCATCTTCCACTTAGTCATCCGAGCTTCCTTGTCGTTGACCCCGCGAACTCCGCAGTCGCAGCCGCCGCAGCAGCGCGTCCGCGTCCTAGTCATCCTCGGTGTCTCCGAAGACCAGCTGTAACAGACACTGCTGGGCCGCCGGCCATCGTCCTGGAGCACCAGGCGGTCTGGATCCGCTGCCAAAGCCGGCTCCTCCTCCTCCTCGCCGCCGCCGCCGCGGTGACCGCGCTAGGAGCCGCCCTCTGCACGGCCTGCGGTGCCCGTTGGGAGGAACCGGCGGCTTTGCGGGGCGTGCCGCAGTTCTTGGGTCTGGCTTGCCTCCCAGGCATCTTTCTGGCTCTTCGCTCTGGTTTCTTCCGGCTCCAGCGTTCTGGTGGCATCCCCAGGTCTGAGGAGAAACGCAGGCGTTGATGAGGAGCACCACTGCGCATGTCAGGGCCACAGATCTTAGCAGCATGGAGAATGTCAGAGTTCATAGCTCCTGCTTCTTGGAGAAATTTATGTGGAGTCAGACTTATATCAGTGAGCTCAGGCTCCACACAGTTTCCCAACAAGCTAGGAAACTTTCTCCCCCCTCTCTAAGGAGTTATCCTTTTGACATCTGTGTGAGCCATTTGTAAGTGCTATAGGTAACAAAGAGGTGTTTTTAAGGCTTGCCCTTCAAGAGTCACAAACAGATCAATCTCCCAGTAAGCCTCTCTTGATTGCTCCAGCCCACATCAAATGTTGTTTTTGTTTTCCTCCCTCAGATCAGACCTTTACAACAGTGTTGTAGCCCAGGCTACACCTGAGTGCTGGAGTCACAGATGTTTGCTACCACGACCCCCTGGCTTGTTCTGAATTCTCCTACCGTCTTAGATGTAACTGTCCTACATAGGACACAGAGTGGTCCTACAGCATTCTTGAACGTGTCTTAACTGTTAGGGATGCGGCTCGGATGTGGTCATTTTTATAACTATCCCACAACCTGAAAAAACTTTTCAAAATACTAGACACAGAAACACTTCATCCTTTTAAGTACCGAAAGCTTCTCAGACTTATTATAATTGTTTTTATGTAGATCAGTTTAAGGAAAATCCTATGTTTTCCTTGTATGGTAGAAACAATTGTTAAGGGAGCAAAGAAAATGTTCAGGCATGCTCCATATGACCGAAGCTGGGAGGGACACTGACTGGGATAACAGAAGGGCTGGAAACTTGGGAAAGATTTTAGTTTTCTCAGGATACATTTATGTATCTAATTTCTCTAGAGCTGAGCTTGAATTGAGAGCTAAGTTTCTTCTTTCCTTAGTGACAGAGTAGCAGTCTGTAGACATTTCTGTCACCTGATTGCTTTCCGTGCTAATCTGCAAAACCCTCTCATAGGATTGTCAGAAAGCAAACCTTTGGTGATTAACTGGTCAGAGGCAGGCCATCCAGAAATGAACCCACAAACTGGCAGTGATCTTCTCCATGGCCCCTCTGATCTCCTCTGCTGTAAAACTTTCCTGAAGGACCAGAAATGAAACAATGTCCTTTTCTGCAGTGTATGGCAATTCCGTAATTAATTATTTCAAAGAATAGTTTTGCTTTACTTTTCCCTTACTTCCCAGAGGAAAAGCCACGAGCATCTCTTGCACTAGGAAAGGTTTCCTAGCTGATGTCCGTGCTTAACTCTTACCTCCTAATGTTCTTCTTTCCCCTTCAGATCACAGTGACTTTTAAAATGCAAGTAATAACTCCATAATTCTCCCTTGCAATCTCCCAGTATAAGGAGTCTCAGTTGAGGAGATGCTCTCTGAGATCCAGTTGTAATGAATTTTCTCAATTAGTGATTGACAGAGAAGGGCCCAGTCCACTGTAAATGCTTTTTTATAGAACCCAGGACCTCCATCCTTGTGCTGGAGGTCCTGGGTTCTATAAGAAAGCAGGCTGAGGGGGCTGGAGAGATGGCTCAGTGATTAAGAGCATTGCCTGCTCTTCCAAAGGTCCTGAGTTCAATTCCCGCAAACCACATGGTGGCTCACAACCATCTGTAATGAGGTCTGGTGCCCTCTTTTGGCCTGCAGACATACACACAGACAGAATATTGTAAACATAACATATATATATTCCATATATATATGTGTGTGTGTGTGTGTGTGTGTGTGTGTGTGTGTGTGTGTGTGTGAAAGAAGGCTGAGCAAGTCAGGAAAAGCAAGTCAGCAAGTCAGTAAGCAGCACCCCTCCACGGCCCCTGCATCAGCTCCTGCCTCCAGGTTCCTGCCCTGCTTGAGTTCCTGTTCTGACTTCTCCCAATGATGGACTATGATATGTAAGTGTAAGTCAAATAAAATCTTTCCTTCCCAAATTGCTTTTTGGTCATGGTGTTTTGTTGCAACAATAGAAACCCTAACTAAGACACAAATCATACTAAGGCCCTGGTCCCCAGAGTCCTGTAAAATTCACACCATTTATTTATAATGAACGATGCCAGTTATAAATCTAAGAGCTTCAAACAAGCATAAACGCCAACCTGCTAGTCCCATGGCAGCTAGGGAAGAAGCTTCTAAAGGAGGAAAGTGAAGGCACATTGAGGCTGCTTTTAGAATCGTTGTTTATTCCTTCTGTTTAGTGGAAGTTGCTGGCACAGCGCCTAGGGAGCAAACGGTGCTTAAGAGTTCACAGCGTCTCACGAATGAACTTCCTTAACCTTGTTGCCATCCCCGAGACATGGGTGAGACAGGCACTGCCACCACTTTGTAGATTCCTTAGACAGTGAGGTTGATTGAGGTTTCCAGTAGGAAAGACAATCCCCAGTGCTCACGTGGGGGAACTGGTGACTTAGTGGCTTTCAGCCTAATACCACGGCTCAGGACGGCAGGGCTAAGATCAGAGCACTCTTGGCAACACCCCTCTTGATTGTATTTAGAGGCAACTTTCGACATTCCTCCATGGAGCCATGACCCCTTCTGTAAGGTAGGTAGGTAGGCTTGAAGGTGACTTTATATTTGGTATAAAAGGAAGAAAGTGTGATGAATTCAAACATAACTTTCAATGGAGGGATAAATTTCATGTTCACAAAAAGATGAACTTGCAAGTAAAAATAGTGCTAAAATCTCTTCATACACAAAGAACTCACTGTAGGAATAAGGCAGAGAAAGCAGAAACTGGAGGTAGACTTATTCGGAGCATTCAAACTGGTTTATAGAAAACTCAAAAATAGGCTATCTATCCTGTACTAAAATCGGCACATATTGTGAAAATCTTCTCACATGACAACCTCGTGTTTTATTGCAAACTTAGCCTGGTTGTGACTTTAAAGGACCCCGTGGGCGTGACTAATCCTTTAAAGAATGAAAATGCCGCCAGTTTCTAGCCCTTGCCCTGCCTTAGGCTCATCATGGACCTGGCGGTATCGGCTCCGCCCACCTCTGAGTAAGTTAGGAGAGGCTACTGACTTTACGTATTCTTCTCCTGTCATGAATTATCAATCACTACCTCGATTTTATAGTCATGCCTCTGAAAAACGCCACGGCTGCATTTATGTTAACTCCCAAATCTCCTTTCTCTCTAGTGATGTTACATCATATTCTTCTGTATTTTGTTCCAAGTGGTGTTTATTAATTAATTCTATTTCTCACATTTACACTTTGAGGTTCAAAGCCAGGCTGACACCTTCTTCCCTAAGTTATTACTACAGGCATTCAGAGGGGATAGAACACTTTACCATCCTTCAACAATTATGGGCCAAGTCTGTAAATTCCCCTTTGTTAGGAACCTCTTAAATACTTTTCTTGAACATCCTTGGATTCAAATCACACATCTGTCAGCACAGTTGGTCTCTATATGTTTCTACTCCCACACTTTCTGGAAGTTGAGTGGTAAAGA